ATATATATATATATATATATATATATATATATATATATATATATATATATATATATATATATATATATATATATATATATATATATATATATATATATATATATATATATATATATATATATATATATATATATATATATATATATATATATATATATATATATATATATATATATATATATATATATATATATATATATATATATATATATATATATATATATATATATATATATATATATATATATATATATATATATATATATATATATATATATATATATATATATATATATATATATATATATATATATATATATATATATATATATATATATATATATATATATATATATATATATATATATATATATATATATATATATACATATATATACATATATATTATGGTATTATACTTTCTCTTCTGCAGAGCATCTTCTTGTAATAAATCCCGTCATACACCTCGTATATTGGGAAGAAGATTTACTCTTACTCCTAGAGCTTACCTGGATGTCGGAATCGTCGTGGGACCTGTGTCTTTTGTGGAAATTGCAATTGGCGACAACCAAGGTAACAACATAATCTTACCTCGTGAAATATGGCAGGCTTTCATCGAAAGACACGCGGATATTGAGTGGTTCGTGTATGCTCTAAACGCGACGTGAACATCTAGTCGCCATATTAGTTTCGGTGACGCAAACGTATTGAAGCGTGTTGGGCATGTGGAGTGTGTGACGCGAACATACCTAAGGTGGTACGATTGGCATGTTACGCACGCATGCGTAATGGTTGAAAACGTACTGTATTGAAAAAAGTATTTCAGATTTATTTTATATAAAAACACATTTAATAAATGCGTTTTTGATTTAAATATAAAAATATATTATATAATAATATAATATAATATAACTTTTATATTTATTAAAAGCGCATTTATGTTGTTATAAAAACGCTTTTCAAATAATCGTGATAACACAATATATCTGAAACGAAATGAGGCACATGTCCGTTCGAATGGTCTCACGGATTGCTCACTTATCCTAAATCCGTTCGTGTCACTAAACATTGGAGCACATGAATGCAACTGCTCCAATCGCTACTTTATCTGTGATCCAAGTGTTCTCCAGATCTTAATTTGAAGCATGCGACGCGAACAAACCTCTTCTGAGGCGTGCTCTTAATTGATCTATGGAATATACTCTAACAGGACGCGAACATCTAGTCGCCATATTGGTTCCGGTAATGCGAACGTATTGGAGCGTGTTGGGTATGTTGGAGCGATGCAAACAAATCTTCGATGTTTGTGCTGGCGTAATGAAAGCGAAGAGCACAGACTCTTGCATAATGTATAAAACATGAGGCAGAAGAAAATCAACCAATCAGAGTCCTTTATTTCATGGAAAAGAAGAAAATAAAAAACTTTAATTGGTTCATTTTCTTCTGCCTCATGTGTTACATGTTATGCAAGAGTCTGTGCTCCCCGCTTAAGAGTATATCTACACAAACTTACATAACCGTATAAACGTATGTATAAAGAAAATTATCCAATCGCATTTCTCTTATAAAGACGCACGTAAAATGTGATTGGATAATTTTTGTTATGCATGCGTTTATGCGACTATCCAAGTTTGTGGATATACCATTAGTTCCTTTATGCCGTATGCTGGATTTACACTGGATCCGACGTGCATCGTACGACGCTCTGCAACCAATTAGAAAACAAGATTTATTTCATATCATCGATACGAAATAAAATTCTGCTTTCTGATTGATTGCAGTACGTCGTACGCGCAAAATCGTCGAATCCAATGTGAATTTAACAATACGCCGGTACACCGTACGCTCCACCTTAGGACTCTAGTACTAACTAGTACTCAAATTTTAGTAACTTTCTATAAAATTATCTCTTCAGTAATGTATTTAAAGAATGATGCACTAAATTAGTACAATATACCTCAAACTAATTAATTAAATATCCATATTATATATATGTTTACACGCGTGTCGCCAAAATTAATAGCATATTCGACCCGATTTGTACCAACCTAGGTTGGATTAATGATGTTGTATGCTCTCGTATTGATAAAATATGTAACGTCAATCAATAGTAGAACATTATCCAACCCAAATGGGAACAAATCCGCTCGGGTCGAAAAAACTATAAGATAATTCAAATGAAAATTACTAGTTTATTATCCATTGGTCTATTCAATTTGCTTACTTTTTTGCACTTTTTATATTTAAAATAAAATAGATATATATTTGGCGCTGAAAAGAGAGAAAGCGAAAATGCTAAGTGTAAAAGGCGTAAGCAAGTCGAACAGATCTTATATCTCAAATCCGCGGTGTAACTAAGCTATTAATGTTTTTAGAACGGTACTGGTAGCAGAAACGCCAAGCGTCTTTCAGATCTATCAGAATGACTAAGCATATTTATCGAGAAAACGCAAAAGACAGAAGGATTTGGGCATTTTCGAGGCTATTTTGTTCTCGGCCCTGAAAAACTATCAAGTTGAAAATAACCATGGATGGAAAGAGATCGATTAAAATGGTATGTAATCATGATTTACGTAGCGTCTTTTTTTTCTTTCTTTTTCTCCCCCTCTCTCTCTCTCTCTCTCCCTCCTGATATTTTAAAAATACAAACATTCACAAGGATTAAGAGTTACGTATAATTTTCCATTATTCACCTTAAATGGTAATTATGAAGGAGATGTGCTTTTATTCATTGATTTTGATGAAATTAGGCTGATTTGACGCGCTTTTTTTACAAAATAAACAAATCTAGCAGAAAAAAGTCGCTCTATCCCGTGAACCAAGATATTAAGTATTAAAGTTGACAACTATTCAGGTTAGGAAATCTGTCACATCGATGGCATAGATAGAGAAGTGTATAAGTGTGGCTAGAATGAGACTTTCTGCTTCAATTACACAAATTTTCTGCTTTAAAAACAAAATTCTCTACTGCGTAAAAACAAAAATTATATAAAAAATGATTTATTTTTAAAGCAAAAAATTTGTATTTTTAAAGCAGACAATTTGTGTTTTTAAAGCAAAGAATTTATTTTTAAAGTGAAAAATTTATATTTATAAAACAGAAAATTTATGTAACCCTTTATGCCATCATGACAGATTTCTTAATCTGAAGTCAATGCTTGTTAGAGAATTTTTGCAATACCGTTTATCCAGTTGCAGTAAACGCTAGGGTCAAGTTATTCTTCTTCTTAACAACTAATTAAGGAAAGGATAATGTGACTTCAGCATTCATCATATCTGGATTCATATTATTGCAAAAACTCCCTAATATCTCAGTTTCTGAAACAGGCGATACTTTTTTCTGCTAAATTCGTTCATTTCGTACAAAAACACGTCAAACGAGCGTAATTTCATCGAAATCAGTGAGTAAGCCTGTCTCCTTCATAATTATCTCTCAAATATTAAATAATTTTATCATATTCAAATAAAGTAGCTAATTTCAATATTACACTCCACATAAGGATGTTTTCATTAATTGTATTTTTTCTACTATCTGTTGATAGGATCCGCTGTCGCCTGGCCCATGTCTAGACATTAGTGACGATGAGCTTGTTACGATATCAGTGCGGGATTTAAATAGACAGTTGAAATTACGAGGACTGTCCAGAGAAGAAATTGTACGTATGAAACAGAGAAGGCGCACGCTGAAGAACAGAGGCTATGCAGCCAGTTGTCGCATAAAACGTATTGAGCAAAAGGATGAATTGGAGTCTGAAAAGACTCAAGAGTATCGCGATATGGAAACTATGCAGGAGGACAACAATCGTATGAGGGAAGAGATAGATTCCTGGCATTCAAAGTACCAAGCACTCAAAAAGTTTGCTCAAGAAAAAAAAATTATTATCCCACCAGATTTGGAAAACATATAAGATATTAAGATATACTGATTAACAAAAAAACATATATATAT